ATTTAAGGTATCATGTGGGCTGTGTATACTCTGAAAGCTGAAGAGAGAATACAGACAGCATTTCATGGCAGATGTTTTCACAGTGCAAGTACATCTCAGTGACAGTGTCCACTCCTGTTTCTAAAAGGGCAGAAGGAGTGGGAGGCTCGTATTGAAGGATTAGTATTAGCTACAGCTTGAATGGGGCTGACCAATAATTTTTCAGCTCATTTCTGTGTCTATTTCTGCAATACTTGCTTTTCTGCTGGTTTAGGCTATGAGATTCTTTCTTTTTGTGGTACTGGGGCTTTTTTTTTCTTATTTAAGTGTAAGCAATTAGCTGTAGGAATGTACGATCCACCAAGGCTTTATTTTATAAAGTATGAATTATGCATACTGTGCCAAGAGTCTGTTTATCTTTTTGCTTCCAGAAAAGAGCCTAACTAAATTTATGAATCCTGATTTCACATTTAACATTGTGGTGTTTTGACTGTTTCTGGTTTTCGATCTTGGGTTTTTTTTTCTGACGTGTAGTCTGCTTCCTGCACTAGCGAACTGAGCTCAATCACACACAGTCCAGCGAGAACATCCTTTGGAGCAGCACAATGGCTGACAGCAGTGAGGATCTTGGCACTGGGCACTGCTACTCCTAATGGATATAAAATGTAGGGAATAAAAATAATCAGAGCATGTCTCCTGAAGCGAGTGATCACACCTCTGCAGGCAAGTGTCAGAACCCCAAGGAGGTACCTCAAGGTCACTGGGCACAGATCCAAGGGCCTTGGGGACCACAGCTCTCCCTTCTCCCTTGGTCCCAGCTCATAGGAATCCAGCTCTGGCCAGCACTGGGATCATTAACCCTGGTTTATGAATGAGAAGACCGAGGTAAACACAGTGGTGGTCATCCCTTGCCCCAAGGACAGGGACAGGCTGGGAATTTGTGTCTTGCACTCTCCTGCCCCACGCCATGGCTGCAGGCAGCCCGTGAGCTCCCTGCTTCCCAGGTATCCATCTCCTGCCGCAAACCATCCAGACTGACGGAACTGCAGTGCAAAAGCCAGAGGAACTCCTTTGCAGGAGCCCGAGGCAGCTCATCACTGCTGAACCTCTGCCACATCCAGCGCCTGACCCAGGGCTCGAGAGCGTCAGTCTGTCACTTCAGTAGTGAATTGCTAAACACATTCTCCTGCTGCGGGCTCACGGTGCGCTCTGGCCGGGGGACTCTACTCCTCCAGCTGCACTGGGAAGGAGCAGGAAGAACACTTAGCTGGAATCGTGTTTATTAAGCAAATTAATAGGCTGCGAGAAAACCAGCCGCTCTGTGGGCACGCTTTCTTCTCGGCTCCTGCAGGGGCTGGAACCTGAGGCAAGAGCTGGGCAGGTGATGGCCGCTCGACGGTGCACCCCCCTCCGCTCTCCCAAAGATCTTCGCTTTCTCTGCTGGGGAGCAAGCTGCGGAAGAGCGACTGCTGGGGCCGGCGCCTTCAGCTTCTGGCTCCCCCACCGCACCTCAAGTACCGGTGTGCCACCGGTGTGGGTGTCCATGGGGCCCGACGGGGCTGAGGGAGCTTCGGGAAGGTGGAGGCGGACGGGGCCGCAGCCGAAGCAGCTGAGACAGCGGCACCCCAGCGGTCGCTGCCCTCCAGGGGCTGGGGAAGGCGGGGAAGAGGTTCCGTAGGTCAGGGATGCTCCCGGTGCGAGTAGCCACGGGGAAGCACGAACTCACGCATTCATCCCCCGGGGCGCCGTAAAGGGAGGGGAAACGGCGGATCTGCGGCAAAAACCTGCTTAAAGTATCCCAGCTTCTCCTCGGGCAGATCCGAGCCGTCCAGCAGCGGGGAAGGACCCTGCGAGGCAGCCGCCGAGAAAGCAGCCCGGCGGGGGAAGCTCCGGGGCTGGGGAGGCCGGGAGGTGGCCGGGGTTGGGGGGCATAAGCCGGGGGAAGAGAGTGCGTATGCAGTGCGCAGCTCCGCGCTCAGGTATCCGCGGCCCCGCCATGGAGGCAGCCATGGAGGACGCCGACTATGGGGGTAAAGCGGGGGGTGTGTTCTGTCTCTGTGCTGCGGGCTCCGTGCCGGGACACACACACACGACAACCCGCTTTCCGCCCCGCGGGCTAGGGGTGGAAGTTACACGGAAACTCTGCCGGGGCCGCGGGGCAGCAGCTCCCTTTGTACAGCGCTGGAGGAGCAGAGGCGACAACCCGGACAGGTTGCTGGAGTCTCATTAAGGATACAAGATATGTGTATGTTTAAATAATTTTTAGAGGAAGAGGGATGTAACTAATTAGGATCCCCACGCTCTCTTTTAATTGCTGCCAAATAGGAAAAATCCTGGATGTGACAAGAGGCTCGGCAGTGGCTCTGTCTCCCTCCGGAAAGCGTGCTCACACCTCGGAGGGATTTGTGGGTCCCCATGGGAACCTGCGTCCTCGTAAAAAGTGGGGTGTGCGGAGAACTGAGCCCCCAGGAAGCAAGAAACCCTCTTTAATGGGAAACAGGGGATGTCCCCAAAGTGAGGGCACCTTTTTTATGTGTTTATTTATTTAACAAGTAAATAAAGCTGCCACCTGCCAGGAGCTGCCTCCCCGACTGCTCGGTTCCTGAAGAGCCCTGACCCGTGGTCCCTAAGGGAACACCCAGGGAAGCGCCCGGTCGCTGCAGCAGCCCTGGCTGCCGGTGCCTTTCAGGTCCCTGGAAAAGGAGGGCTCCACGGGGTGGGGTGGGGGGGCACGGCCGCCGGCGAGCTTTGCCGGTGGCCTCTGTCAGCCCCTTGCTCCGCTGGCTTGCGCCATCAACGGGGAGGGTGGGAGGCAGAAGCCGCTCTTCGGCGAGAGAGCGCGGCTCCAAAGGCGCTAATGCCAACTCCCCGTTCACCCTGCAGGACACGCCGCTGAGCTGCCCGGGTGCCGGGCGTTTGTTTCATCAGCGCATCCCTCGGGAGCACCCGCGGCAGGAGCCGCGCTCGGCCCTGGGGCGGCATCACCTGCGCGGAGGAGCCGGGCTCGGAGGACCCTGCTCCCCGCCGGGCACCCCACGGGAGGCGGCAGGCAGAGCCAGGGCCTGCCCGTGCCCTGCTGTCTGCTTACTGCGGAGCCCCGAGCCCTGTGCCTATCCCCGGCAGCTGCCGCTGCTGCGAGCGGAGACCGAGGAGCAAGTGGATGCACGGGAAAGTTTGTCTCAAACTTGCCGTGTTTAGCGTCTCCTCTGCTCTCTCGGATTGTTTTCTAAGAAGCCAAGTGCTTGTTTTGGTCGCCTTGTTTAGATAATTTCTTATAAATCCCTCATCCTCTTCCACGCCTTTATTTACAAATATTATTTACATACACACAGCAAATAATAAGAAAGTGGATTCATCTCCGTGATTCTGGCCACCAAAGGAAGCAAACCGAAGGTGTTCAGACCTTGACAATTCTAAAGAGTGAGAAAATCATGGTCCCCTTTTTGGGGGACATTTCTGAGCAGAAAGAAAACTTGATTTCTGACGTTCTAATAAAAATGACCAACATTGCTACAACACAGGGACTTTTCGGGAGGAAGAGGAGCTGATCTCAAATCTGGGAAGCTCGACGGTTCCCTTCCTCGTTTCTTTCTAAATCCATCTTGTCCCTTTAATACAAATGAACTTTAAGCTCCCCCTGTCTTTTATTATTTAGATTCCCAGTCTTAATGACGCCAGGAGCAGCGCAAGCACACTCGCTAATAATCGTCACGAACTGCATTTCAAAGAAACATCCCTGGAAGAAAAACACCATCGGGGGGGGGGGGGGGGGGGGATAAATAGAGACTCCGCCAAAAATGATAATGCGGAGTCCCTGATGATGATGATGGGCTTAATGCAGCTGCTGCAAATCAGCACCTGCGTGCTAGATAAGGCAGATAACACCTACCCCAGCACCCCCGTCCTCGGGTTTAGTTTTAGATCATTCATTTAGTTGGACGGAGGGGTTTGGTTTTTTGTTTTGTTTTCATGGTTTTGTTTTTTCTTTTTTTTTTTTTTTTTGCTTTAATTATTATTCCTGTGTGGGTGGTTTTTTTTTTTTTTAATTATTGTTATTTTTCTACTTTCTTTATTTTTTTAGTTCCCTGATCATTAGGGAAAAAAGGGGAAGTGTGAACAGGTTTAAACTCGAAGACATGGATCTATCTGCGGCCTTTAATAAGAGCTCTGGGGCGGCTGGTCCCGGCGCTGATAGCCCAGATCTCCGCGGCCAGCCCAGTCCCCGGGTCAGCTTTTGTCCCTGCCATAAAAAAACAACCACTTGCTCCTCTCATGTAAATGAGCAGCGATGCGGATGCACCTTAAAACACTGGGAGAAGTCGTTGCTGTTGAAAACGATGTTCATTTTGTCTGACACCATAACTGCATAGATCAAATGGCTGCAGAAAGGTAGCAATTTGGCAGGGAAGTATTTTCAAAGCTTAAATGAAAGTGAGCTCCCGGCGTCCGAAAATGTCTGTCTCACCTCCCACCTGCTTCCCCAGCCCCGAGTGAGAGCGAAAAGATTAGACGGACATCATTTTCGTTAGGAGAAACATAAAAATAATAAAGATGCGAGGAACCGGCGGCACCATTCGCGCAGCCCCGAATCGAGGACGGTGAATCAGTGCTGCTTTACCTACCGGGGATCCAGCACAACTGCAATAATCTTGTCGGATAATTAAGTAAATTATACCTTAAACATCGGTAGCTTACAAGTTGTAATCAGTAATTCAAACTCTTGGCAATTATGCAGATTGGGCTCAGGCTGGCGCTCGGACCTTTTCCCTTTTGCAAGGAGGACTTTTGGGGAGTTTATTTCGCTCAGAAGCCTCCGAGCGGGGGGGGGGGGGGAAGACGACGACGACGACGACGACTTGGGAGCTGCGCCTCCCCACGCCGACCTCTGCAAAGTCCTTCTATGCGTGGAGATGGAAATACACCACCCCCCCCCCCAACACACAACTAATCCAACACGTGGTGGACTTTAGGGGGCAGTCTCTTTGCAGTGGGGTGTTAGGGGGTGTTCACGCGTGACTCCTCTTTGCGGGTCAGGGCTGCACAAGAAGCGCTCCGGGGGCACTGAGGGGTGTCCAGTTCCGACTCCGCGCTGCCTCCTCACTCCTCCGCGGGCGCGGAGAGCAACGCGGAAGGAGTGGCTTGAGGCTGCGCGCTCTCTCCTGAATGGCTGGCGGCCGCGGCTCCCGAGCCATCCCTGGGGAGGAGTTATGATAATCCTATTGCCATTAAGGGCGTCTGGGCAGGGAAAAAAACCCGAGTGACCATAAGCGCGGAGGTTTAGTCCGTCATCTGCCTTCATGCCTGCCAACTGAGCTCCGTCCGGGGGGCAGCTCCTCTTCCCCAGCGCCGACGTGGATTTACCGCCCGTGGGGGGGGGCTGAGCTCTCGTCTGTTTTCGGTACCACACACCTGGTTTGGACGCTGGACGCCATGTTGTGGAAGCTAGCAGATAATGTCAAGTATGAAGAGGACTGCGAGGTGAGAACTATGGGGAGGGGCGGCACTAAGGAAGGGGGTCCGGCCTGGGGCAGCGCGGAGCTCCGCCGCCCCCCCACCATCCATCCCCTTCTGTTCCGGCTATCCCGCCGTCCCCCCGAGCGGGGTTTGACCCTTCCCGAGGAATCCCGGTTTGCGTTTTCATGTTTTCCTTCAGAGAGGCGAATTCTACTTTTCTAATTTTTGAACTCTGAAACAAAACGGGGTGAAAGCCCCGCCTGGCAGAAGGGAGCTCCCCTCCAGCATCCCCCACCCGCCCGGCGGAGCTGCGCCTTCCGGGCTCGGAGTGTCCCCTTTGAGCGGTCTAGGGGCACAAGGAGAGGGGCAGGAGGCAGCGGCAGGGGCACCGGTGCCGGCAGCCCCAAACGTGCTGCCGGAGCGCGGGACCAAGACCCCCCCAAAATCCTCATCCCTTTGGCCCGGTCCGGATGGGCGAGTGCGGGGCAGCCGGCCCGCAGGTAGCCGCTGTGGCAGGGCTGAGCCCTGCGGCGTTCTTCCTTCCCACGCTCCCCTCCGCGGGAGCGTTTCCCACTCCAGTGAGGCGTTCCCCGCCCGGGTTTTGATCTCTTCGAAAGCGGCCGTGGTTCTGGTCCGCCTGCTTGGCTCCTACAGATTAGCTGCAGTTCCTGCTTCACGCTCCATTGGGACCCCATTCACCTCTTACTAACTAGCCCTGTTATTTTAATGACCGTGAAGCCAGAAGCTGCTAAATCCCTGGATCAGTTCAATGTAGACATTTCAGCTCTTGGCTGCTGAGATTTGAAATCGGGGGAGAAGCGGAGACGGGACGGCTGGAATGGGACACCGCCTTCCCCTCCCGCTGCCCTTCCCGAGCGGCTCCCGGGGCCTCGGGCGAGCCGGGGGGGACGACACGGTACTGGGGCCTTCTCCCCAAGGGCGGCGGGTCCGCAGCTCCCGGCCCCGGAGTTTCCTCCCCAGCCGGGACAGACCGGCGGAAATCGGGCAGCGTCTCTGATTTGAATTTGTCTTATTTTAATGATCCTCCCAATGACTTGCACAAGCGTGAGGGTTAGTCTGCTGTAGTCGCGGTGAGGATAGCACACAGAACTGGTTTGTAATCTCTTCCTGGGAGTGGGGCTGACTTATTTCGCGATGTGCCTTAAAAAGAGAAGGCTCCTGGGCAGGAGCTGGGCTGCTCTTCGCTTCTCTCCTCTCCTTCCCCGGGACCGGCAAGTGCCTCCCCCTGGATCCGGGCCGCTGACCGTCAGCCCCCCAGCTGACGGCCGGCTCCGCTCTCCCCCACCCCTCTGTGCTTTCCAGGACCGTCATGATGGGAGCAGCAACGGGAACCCGCGGCTTCCGCACCTCTCTGCGGTCAGCCAACACCTGTACAGCCCGGCTCCGCCGCTCTCCCACTCGGGCGCCTCCGACTTCCAGCCCCCTTACTTCCCCCCGCCGTACCAGCCGCTGCCTTACTCCCAGTCCAGCGACCCTTACTCCCACCTCGGGGACCCCTTCTCCATCAACCCGCTGCACCAGCCGCCGCCGCCGCCCCCCAGCCAGCAGCAAAGCCCCTGGCCCAGCCGGCAGAGCCAGGACCCTCCCGGCCTCGCCCCCCACGGCCGCCCCGGCCTCGTCCCGCACCTCTCGGCGCTGGAGAGCGGCTCCGCCGGCGCCCGCAGGGAAACGTACCGCCGCTCCGAGCTGCTCCTGCCCCACGGGCACGGGCTGGATGCTTCCGCACTGGCCGATAACCTGGGCCTGCACGACATGGCTCACCAGATGGAGGAGGTGCAGGTAAGGGTTCTGTATCCCACTCCACCCCGTGGGACAGGCGCTGCCGGGATGCCCGGACGCCCTGCGGCGGAGCAGGGCACCGTCCTCTTCTGCACCTTCGCCTGCCCTATCCCCGTCCTTGGGGCGAAACCCGCCTTTTCTCCTCGTCTGCTCTGAAAATGGGGACGCGTGGGGTGGGGGGTGTCCCCCGAAAGCCCCCGTCTCCTTTTTCTCAGCTGTTCAAGGTGCGAAACTTTCTCCCCTTTCTCTTTCCAGAACGTGGAAGATCAACACTTACTAATGCATGACCAGACAGTCATTAGAAAAGGTCAGTAAGGTGGCACTGCAGTTTACTTTCCCTTGTCAATAGTTAAAAAGTTTAATGACGCACCTGTGAATTGACGCCTTATTATCTTTCAAAAGACAAATCCTTTCGGATCGGGAGGGAGGAGAAGTTTTTATTGCGCTTTCGCAGTCGCTGGATTTTTCTGTCTAACGCCATCCGAGGGAAGCGCCGGTGGGGACAAACCCTGGGCAGGGGGACCCCGGTCTTCCCCCTCGGAATAGCCCCTGCCCTTGTATGCGGCCTTAATCGAAACCAGAACCTTGGATCAAATGTAATGCTGCCCTGGAGTACGCATGTAAAGGGACACTGGGCTGACTTTTGAGTTATTTTGGTTTTGGTTGGGCTCTTTTTGTTGTAGCACTCGAAGACGGCTTTCTTGCTTTTGTTATTGTTTTTCCTGCAACTTCTTCACAAGACTGAAGAAGGCAACGAGATCGCTGGCATAAGCCTCCTCGGTTTTACCTTAATCGAAATTGCTTTGTAGCTGAGATTTTGAGGAAGGAGAAAGATGCATTGACTCGATTTACAGCCATTTAGAGTTTTTTTCTTTTCTTTTTTTTTTTTTTTTCCTTTCCTGCTTTTGTTTTTAAACAAATTTGTGCGTAAAAAAAAAAATAAATCGGTGGAAGTTTCCTGTGAAGACTTCAAACAAAAACCTGGCTGAGGAAAAGCAGAAGTGTTTGTCAGAGCGCTGATTGCTGCCTTTAGCTCATGGGAGAATAATTTCGTTGTCAGATGCACCACTGAAAAATCTTTCCCCCTCCGGGGAGCAGGGCCGACCTCGGCTCTTTAACCCTTTCCGATCGGTGCTGCCGCCAGGTTAACGGGTGAATACACCCGGGATGGAAAAGCTGGATGTGTGGCTGACAGTGTTGCCAAGCCTTTTTGGTCCCTGTTTACTTAAAGGCTGAAGCCGTTAAGGAGCAACGTTTTACTTTCAGTTCTCCTCTGGGCTCCATCCCTCTCTCCGCCGTGTTGTCTGTTACGAATTTGTTTGGATTAAATTCCAAAGGCAGTTTCTTACATCTGCGTGCGCGTGGTGGAAGGTGAAGCCCAGCAGGAGCTGGAAGGCTTCTCTCTGCTCCAGCTCAAAAGGGTTTTTGGCAGCAGTGAAGGATGCTGATTTGGAGTCTGTAGTTGAATCGGGCTTTCTATGAGCATGGGTTTGCTAACTTGCAGCGTGCTGCTCCAGAGACGTGGGGATTTGTGCGTTTTTTGAAAGTGTCCTTAGTTGCATTCGGCAGCTCCTTGAAATTTAGTGTGGCAAAATACAGCTGCTTAGGATTAGTTGAGGGGACCTTTTGGCTGCAGCAGAGCCCTGTGCTGCAGATAAATGCTGGGGATGAGGGGGGGGGGAGGAGGGGGCAGTGTTGTGTGTATTTAGCACAAAACGAAATCTCTCTCCTGGTCTTTTTTTGTAGAAAGGAAATTCACTTTCCCCTTCCTATTTCTCCTTTTATAAAATACCCGTTTTCCCTTCTCGTCCCACAGGTCCCATTTCCTTAACGAAAAACAGTGCTCTGAGTCTTCCCTGCCAAAAGGATGGACTAATTGGAGTGGTCATAAACCCCAATGAAGTATTTTGTTCGGTTCCGGGCAGACTTTCCCTCCTGAGCTCCACATCGAAATACAAAGTGACAGTAGCAGAGGTGCAGAGGCGGCTCTCACCCCCCGAATGCCTCAATGCCTCTTTGCTGGGAGGCGTACTCCGAAGGTAGGTAGGCTCCCACTCCTCTCCCAGCCGTCCCCATCCTGTCTATTGTCTGTGATTTTCCTTGTGCTTGTGTGAGCAGCCGGATTAGCATAACGAGGCGCTCAGAAAGCCTTGTAGTGAATTTCTGATTTTTAAGAAGCCCAGCAACACTGAATCCTAATGGGCTTTGGAAATAAAACTTCTTTGCACTTCTGCTACTTCTCGAGAAGTGCTATTAACAGCTCTGACAGCAATTCTTGTTCTCTGTTTAAAGTTGAATTTTTGTCTCAAAAATGGCTCATGGAGCTTTCTTATTCCTGTGACAAACTTATTCCCCATGGAATGACTTTTGGATTAAATCTCCTGGTCTTGACTAATCGTTACAAGGACACTTTGTATGTCCTTTTTTGCATACACTTTCTTTGGCTTGTAGTCGTTCTACAGCTGTTTGTTTTGGTGCAGTTAGAAGCATTTTGATTTTGACCTCTGCTGTATTTCATCCTGGCTGGTTTGTCATAGGGCATTTAAAAACTAGGTCACTTAAAAAGACCATGGTCTTTATTCCCTCCCAAGTAGAACCCTATTGAATGTCAGTAACTGGAATTTCTCATCTTTAAAAAGAAATGTTCTCTGAAGATAAATAAGGACTTTTTTCTTTTTTCCCCTCTTTAATTACAGAGCTAAATCTAAAAACGGTGGCAGATCATTAAGGGAAAAACTGGATAAAATTGGCTTGAATCTTCCTGCTGGTAGAAGGAAAGCTGCAAATGTGACACTATTGACATCTTTGGTGGAAGGTCAGTCTTGAATGTGTCTTAAAAATTTTTTTCCCTTGTGTATAGCTTTTATCCTGTAGACAAAGCATAGAAAGGCTAGGAAGTCGATGAGCATAATAAATAGAGAGGGTTTAGTTTGTTTAGAAGTGAGTAAGATGGAGACTCTGCAGCTAACAGCTGGCTTTGCTTTTGAGAGGTTCCTCTCCCCTTCTTCTCCTTTCAAATTTGGTTGCTATGCCCTTGGCCTCAGCCCTACCTCCACAAACCCAGCTGGTGCTCCTCTTCCTCATGGCTGCATCACAGGGATGCTGGCAGGGATGCAGTAACTCCTACATGCCAGGACATTCAAAATGCATCCCTGTGCAGTCTGTGTTTCTTGAGGCTGGGGGGGGGGGGGGGGGGGGGGGGTAGGTTGTTTCAGGGTTTGTGGGCAGGGACAGGCCAAAGGGGTGAAACTCATCACATTAGTGGGTTTAGTTCCTTACTGAGAAACTGTAAAAGTCTGGGCAGCTGACTCTAGCACCCAGCCCTACCTCAGAGGTGTCCTCAGCAGCTTTTCTAATAAACAAGCATATAAAATGAGTTTTATAGCTTCTGACTTCCTGATAAGAAACTGGAGCCCCTTTAATCTGTAACATGTTGTATGAACCTTCTATCAGCTAAGCTGACTTGAAGGCTGTATATGTATGTGTGCGGTTGTTTTATGTTTCTGTTTAAAGCAGCTCCTGGTAGTGGTACAATTTAATAGGAATGGAAGCAGCAATTGAAAAGTTGAATAATCATCTAATACCTTACTGCTATTTCACTTCCTTAGCTAAGATAATATAGCAGCTTCCATTTAAAAACTTTGGAAGTTGGGTTTGAGAGAGTTTATGCATGTGCATGTGTACACACATACCTTACAGGTAATGCACTGGTCATGGCAATCTATTCTTTTAAGTCTGATCACATTACCTTAATGGAAAAAAAAAAGTGCTCTAATTACACCAGTTTCAGTTCATATTCTGTATGAAAATGCTTATCAGTGTTCAGAAAAGATTCTAAACTGGTAAATCTTTTATTATGTAAATGGAATACAGTTGCCAGGTTTTTTAAATCTCGGTGGACAATGTGATCTAGCCTGACTTCTAGTCTGCTGCGCAGCTCATCTGGAGAGAGGTGGGAATTTTTCTTTCTAGTTATAGAGGCAGGAGAATGATTATTTTTTTGTAGTGGTCACCATGTAGATATTTTTTTTCTTGATGCAAACTTGTGAAGAAACACTGATCTATCAATTAGAAAATGGTAAGGAGTGGTATGGTGGTAACAGCAGTGACCCTTTCCAAATCAGTATACCTCAAAAATCACAGCACTTCCCTTAACTCCCTTGATCTCCTTATAATAAATAGATGCTGCTAAACTTAATAAGCATTCCCTTTTGCCCACACCAGGTGAAGCTGTACATCTTGCTCGTGATTTTGGTTATGTATGTGAGACAGAGTTTCCTTCCAAAGCAGTGGCCGAATATCTAACTAGACCACACATGGGCCGTAACGAAATGGCAAACAGGAAGAATATGCTTCTTGCTGCAAAGTAAGTTTGGGGCTTGGACTTTTTTTTGTCTTTTTAAAGATGCTTTTGTATGATCATGAGTACCTATGACTGGGTGAATACAGTAATTTTCATGTGCAACTTTAATCTGGGAATGTTTTTTTTAATTTGGTTTTGGTTTGAATTCAACTATGACAACTTATTTTATCTGAACCGGTAATAATAACAACCCTGGATGATAACTCTAAAGCAGTTTGGACTAGTTCTGTCTTTTTATTCCTTTTAACAGTAGCAAAAACTTAAGGAAAAAGTCCTATATACTTAAGGAAAAAGTCTTTAGCTATATCTTTAGGGGAAAACTGTCCCTAAGTGTCCCAAGGTGGAGGGCCTGTAGAGAGGTGCAGCCTGGAAAAGTGAGGCAGTGTCAGGACTGGGAGCAGGAGCTGGTTCACCCCCCTCTCTGTGTACATGCAGCCCAGAGGGGCACCTCCAAGGAGAGTTACTGGTGGGCATGCTGGATGCAAGGGAAGCTCGGGACCTGTGTACTCACAACTGCTTCTGGCAGTATCAGCACACAGGTTTCTCCCATTGGGCCCTTAAGAGTCAAGAGTCATGGGTAGTCCCTTTTTGGGGAAGTTTGGCTGAAGTTCTTTATAGTTCAGTGAAAGCCAACCTTTGGTAGATGTGTCATTGTGCTTAACTAAATTCCTTCTACAAGCCTTGATAAAGAGGAAAGGCTAAGGGAGAGAAGATGTTATGGCTGTTCTACAGACACTTGTAACTGTAAACAAACCATGCACTGGACAGGTCTTTGGTAGGAAATATCTGTGTTGGGTTATGCTTGTCTTAAACCAGTGGCTGGAGTGCTTGCTGTCTTCCCAGGCTGAGGTTTAACAAAGCCTTCAGTTCACAATCCTTTCTGGTCTGAGATGTCTGTTTTGGGGTTGATGTAATTCCTTGCTTTTGAAAGCACGCTCGCTCTGCAAGAGTCTCTGAGAAAAGCCTGTCTAAACTGTTGAATTGCCCTGAATTTGGGCTTGGATAAGGCATGAAAAACACACTCCTCCTGGTGTTGAATTAATCCAGCCTTCCTGAAAGAGGTCTTCTTTTACAAGATATATCCTATGTAAAGGAATATTTATCAGAAATTCAGTTATATAGCACCTCTCTTTCCTATAGCTTGAACATCTTGCCTTTTACTGAGCTCTGCTCCTTCTGCTCCTAGTATTTTCATTATTGGTTTTGTTATTGGCACTGATAACAAGAATCTTTTTTGGAAGACGTTTGTGATTGACAAATTCTGATAAAGTGATTCTGTTAAGACTGCTCAGCTCCTGTGAAATCTCATCAAGGGGACAGATTTGTAAGCAGCAAACAACATATGCTTGAGCGTTATTAACCATTCATGTTTTGCCAGGCATATGTGTTAGTGTTTGCAGGATCAGGGCCCAGGTCTCTCTTTAAGAGAGTGTATATATGTAATGTGCATAACTGACTTGAACATTCTATTGAGCTGCTTTAGTCTTTCTAAATCATTTAACTGCAGCTGTGGATGTTCTCATAGAAACTAGTCCTAAATTCCCACTCCCCCCTTGAAATCTAGAGCAAATGACACAGAGCCAGCCAGACACCAGAGGTGGAGAGATTATTTTGAGGAGTCTGTGTGGGTTTAGTGACATAAATATAACAGCAGGTTCATCAGGAACTGGTGCTAATAAATAGGCTTTTAGACACTGCCGCTGATGGAGTAATGAATTTCTGAAACCTTTTAATTCCGCAGAACTGCCAAATACTTGCTATGGATTTTCTGTTGGTTTTCTTTATTTATTTGCTTTTGCATAAATTCTCATCGTGGTGTAAAGTGTGATCACTTTGTGTCTTGCAGGCAGATCTGTAAGGAATTCACAGACCTCCTCACTCAGGACAGAACTCCTCTTGGAAACACGAGACCTAGTCCCATCTTGGACCCTGGCATCCAGGGCTGTTTGACTCATTTTAGCCTGATCACGCATGGCTTTGGGAGCGCTGCCATCTGTGCTGCCATGACATCCGTCCAGAACTACCTAAATGAAGCATTAAAAATAGCAGACAAAACATACATGAACGCTGGCGACCAGAGCCCTGCAGAAACCAACAAAACCATTGATAAAATGGATAAGCACAGGAAGTAAAAGGAGGGAAACCAGACTTTAAACTCTTCCTCCTAAGCACAGACTGGGATCTTCTTGGCAGGGGGAACGTAGAAATTTGTTTTTTTTGGTGGTTTTCTTTTTCTTTTTTTTTTTCTTCTTAAAGAAAAGAGGGAAAAAGGGTGGAAAAAAAATTCATCTTATTCAGGATCATCACTCCTCCTGGATCCATGAGACAAGTCTTTCTAAAAGCTGCAGTATCCCTTATCTGTGGAAGCAATTACCAGAAGATAAGTACTTGGTACAAGCGTCTTGAAATCCTTTGCTGTAAAAGTGGTGCTATAAAGGGGTTTTGATGGAAATATACAAAGAGATATATTTAGATTTCTTTTCCACATCTAAGTATCTAGTGGTGACCAGGTTCATGTATAGTTTTTATGATGCAGATTTTAGATGGAAGCCTATTTGTTATCTGATACAATTTCAGGGTTTTATTCTCTCTAAATGCAACAGTAACAATAAAGCAGTATTAAACAGTGATATATAGATTTATGTACATTAAAAGTTTTTATAAACACCTGAAAATAGTAAGATTATTCTGTGGGGGTTTTTGCTTTGTTTTGTTTTTTTGTAGTTTTTCCTTTTTATTTTCACATTACCATAGGAGAGTACTAAAATCCTGCTCAACTTAAAAGTTACCTGATGGCATTTGACATGCTGATTTTTTTATTTTTTTTTTTTTAATGGGAATATTCAGGCTTCATTGCTGCAGCAATTTTTTGCTGCAGTGAATCTTATCTTGACTTTATTCTGTTTTTTAAACGAGGAATAGTTCAGAATGAAACTGCTTTTAGGAAATTCTGTGTTGAGGATATTGCAGCTTTATTGACATATTTATATTGTTTTTAAATTGGGGCGAGCTTGAAAGAATAGGCACATAACTCTTTTTTGAATATTTTCTTTTTTTTTGCCTATTAAGGCCAAAAAACTTTCCAGGGAGGCTTTATGTGTATTAAGGGGAGCAGTGTGTTGAATGTAAATATTTATTTATGTGTAATTTAATCGGATTTGTAAATAATGGTGAACTTTTTAATACTTTTTTGTTTTTATAAATGGGTTTCAAATGTTAATTTTGGTAAGTATTTCAAAGGTAATGGGTAAGCTAAACATATCTTTAGGTTTATGCACAGGTATGTTATACAGGGTATTTAAGACTTTTTAATATCTCAATTCTTGCCACTGAAGATTAGATTTAATCTGAGGTGTATGCTCACAAAGCAAAAATTTTGTGCATCATTCACCTGGTAACTGACTAAACATGCAAAATGAGTGTGTGAGTTAGTGTGTATGTGAATAATGGAGGTTCTGAACTCTCTTTACATATTTGTAAATGTTCCCTATATAATTCTGATGTATATGATAACCATATAATAAAAGTATTCTGGATAGAAGCATGGAATGTTTTGTTAACTGAAACCAGTTTTCTTTCTATACTTTGGGAATGTGGGGCGAGCAGCACTAGAGGACATTATGTATTGAATCATAATTGCAGCACTTTGTTCAGATTAACAGAACAGAAATATGGAGCTGTTTGCCAGTAAAACTGATGGTTTCAATTAAACATGTATCTCCAAGAATCTTTTTTTTTTAAGATGTCACTATCATGCAGGCTGCCTATTTAAACAAGCAGCTTAAACACAAACTGCAAGATTGATCTCGCCTGCTTTGTTTTCTGATGAATCTGACTTTATTGTCTCCTATGACAAATATTTGCAAAGTCCCGGGGTGTGAGATCTGACGTCTCATCTGCTTTCAGCCCAGTTCTGCTGATTTGAGGAAGTTCACAGCATTTTGTAGAAAGTCCCCAGTGTGCTCTGTGTGGTAGTGGGGAGGCAGAATTTGAGGCTTTTGGTGGCATTTAGTGCCTTGGATGTAAAATAGCCAAACAAACCCTCCTAAGGGGAAAGGGTGGGTTGCTTCTTTTTTTTTTTCTGGTCCTTTCTGAAAAACCAAGACCATGAACCTGGGCTTCAGCTTGTCCTTGGCATTTGAGTACCAGGTCTGTCAGGAGTGTAGTTAGGACAAACATTAGGAATGGTGATGCTGGACAATAACTGCAAGTAAGAATTCAGTTCAGGTTGTGGCAGTGCGTTTCTTTTGCAGACATGGAGAAGAGGCAATATGTGCCATTTCTGATGACTTGCTTTATAAATTTTTATGTTCTTTTTTTCCTTTAAAGGATAAAGGAAAACGACTGAAGGTGCACGGGGTGGGGGGAAAGGGAAGCTCAAAGAAATGAATGAATATTTTGGTGGTGAGCAAGGAGGAAGCTAGCTTTTTTGAGCTGCAATCCGGTCCCCTTCTCTCCTAAAGAGGTGTGAAATTCCGGTCTTTGCATTTGTTAGGCTCATTGTAGCATTTGAGAAATAAGCACTTTGGACCATCTGTAGACACAAGTGTAGCCAGGACATGTGATGTCTAACAGAACTTCTAAAATATACGAATTACACCATTCTGTTTGTTTTTATTGATTTTTAGATATATATTCTATATATGTAAATATACATAGCATACATATATATAAATACGCTAGGTATGGGAAGAGCTTGTTTAGAGAATATGATGCTAGAGTTTTGCTTTTTGTTGGTGTTGTTTTCCTGTTTCTGCTGCTGTGCTGCTTATACAGCATATACAGTAAGATATTTTAGCTACCAGACAATGGAATCTTGCTTTTTATTAACGCATAAAACCAGGCTCTGAAATAATTGCCCCTTGGGATAGGAAATAAGGATGTTTCCATTTATTCCTGAGTGCATTCAAGCAAAGCCAGTCAATTGTCTAATGTACTGACTCAGGTTCTATTTATATGTTTGGAACATCAGAAATGGTGAATTTCCATTACCTTAATGCTTTTCCTCTACTGTATATTTTAGATGGTACGTTATTTTGAGGCTCGACTACCTTGTAAGCTGTGTCAGTAATATGAAACAAGAACAATGTCTTCTGCTCCATTCACTGAAGAGAACAGTAAAACTCTGACCCGAACTTGTCTGTCATCTGAGATGATTAAACTTAAAGTGTTGCTAGGTTAGTAACTTCATGGGAAATCTGAAATGCACAAAGTTATCAGAACACACAGTTTGCTTTTTCCTGATGCTCAAATTTTCTTTCTTTTTACTTCTTTTACGTAGGCTATTCCTGGGCTGGCTTGAAAGTTCTAAGTCAGACTCCTGAAGTTCCATTTTTAATTTCCTTTAAAAGTGGAATATCCACATGACTGTCCAATCTTGTCCTTTGCCCTTCTCCCAGAAAAATAATGGGTATGGTCTTTATGTGATGGAAAATTACTTTAAGCTATTAAGATTTAAAAGTAAAAATTCTGCATTTGAAATGGGCCATTCTAAGTGTTGCCCTTCTGCAAAGATGTTGTTTGATACGTGGGCACAAAATAGCTGAATTCATGTCAGTATAAAAATGGAAGAGGAAAATGTGTTGACCATCTCTTGCCTGGCCATCGGAGGATGCCAGGGTCTGCCCCTGGCACTGCTGGAATCATGGCAGGCAGGAATGCTGCTTCCTTTCACCCATGACAGCTAAGGGCATGGCCTTTGGAATCCTATCACCTGACAGGCAACCTGATGGGTACAAATTATTAATGGCAAAGCTGATGATTATTCAAGACCCTGGCTCATGCGACCATCTGACTTCACAGCAGCGTTGCTTTCAGTTTAAAAATAGGTTTTTCTTAGTGTTTGCAGCTGCAGAGAGACAAAATGACACAGAACTAGTAATATATAAGAAAACAAGGAAAAAGAATGAGCTTCTTAATAACTGCTTTCAGTGAACTTCGACTGTTTTTGCTTTGCTCTTTGCTCATTTCATTGTTATTTACAGTTTGTCTCCCCCTGCCTCTTGTCTGAAGCCTGAGTGGTATCTGTTCCTCTGCTCCCTCAGACTTTTGCAATACAAATAAACCCAGCAATGCATTTTGAAATGGGTCAAGCCTGCTGTGATAGGCTGCCATGCTTATTAGTTGTGTCCCTTCTCTTCCCCCCCCCCCCGAGGGATTTAGGTGTATCCTTGTAGTTATTTTGGCCTTGGCAATGGGCTTGGAGTGCCTTCTGGAACATGTTCTGCAATGAGAGCTTCATTGTTTATTACTAAGAAAAAAAGAAAGAGGGTGCTGTTAAGATTTTGTTCCAAACCTGTTATTTCACTAAAAGAACATAAAATCATAGAATAGTTAGGGTTGAAAAAGACCTTAAGATCAATGAAGTTAGAACACGAGGTTAGGGACAAAGGTGCTTCCCTCTCACAAAAAGTAAGTTTTGAAGCATAATATGCTTCTGTTCATTGACATTTGCAGGTTTGTATGGGGAACCTAAAGCCTGTTTTACTGAGCACTCTGGGGTTCTGTTGGGATGATGACCCAGGCCTGGTGGTGGTGAGCCACAGGATGCATATGGAGCCATCCAACCGAGAATGGTTTCAACCCCAGGGTTGTTATCTCACAGCCAGACATAACCATGCCCTTCAAAATCTGCGTTTTCCAAACCCGTTGTGGTCTGTCATGATGCTTCTACAGTGCCTGGCTATTGCTGCTGCCTGTTGCCTAACATCACATTATCCAAGTAGCTGTATGGATGACCGGCTCTGTCCAAATCACACAGGGCCTGCACTGAAACCGTATTTCTAACACATTGCTATATTCTGTTGTGTATTATTTGCTGCCTTCTCCCTCTTTCATTTTCACCTTCTCAGGGTTATATAAGCTTTCCTGGTTTCAGATGCCACTTTGCATTCATAGGATATTCTTTAATGTCTTACAAGGATGGTCCAGCTGGTTTACATGTGCCATTGTTGTGTAATGGCTGGCTACAATTATTGCATTTTTCCTCTCTTTTGGCTGAACAGCCCTTTTTAACTGGCTCTTGTGAAGGCTTTGCTCACAGGCTACTACTGCTCCATGACATGTTCCCTGAATATTACATTTAATCTACAGTTTTACCCATAATTTAAAATTGAAAACATGTAACCATACAGTCACTTGCTCTCTCTGCCACAAAACCCAGGCATTTATTCATGAATTAGCAGAAATTTCACTCTGAACCATGAACAAAATAACAGAAGTGATCTTTTAGGTGAGTTTTAGAGTTTGTATTTCCAAGGTTAATCAGCATAAAACTAAGGGAAAAGTAGTTTAAGAGGATCTAAAGGTAGTGTTCTTCAGCTGATCACTGCAATTAAGAATCATTTCTAGTTAATTGAAAGAGTTCTTCAGTAACAACAGAAAGTGGTCTAAAATGATGCCAGCTACCTTGTTATAAAACACAGATGCTAAAGCATAGAGTTTGCAGTCCTCTAACAGGACAGTGCCCATGTGGGAGCCAGGGCCTCATCGTATTCTTCCCCTTTTGCATCACATCAGCTCCCTAGAGAAAGACAAATCCCAAACCACATGAACAGTGCAGGTTTGGGGGCATATTGAGTGGAATGCATTACCTTTTGCCTTTGTAAGGTAGTAAGATGTCCTTTAGGTTGTGTCAGGCTGTTGCACCTCTGCTTATTGCTGGAAGACCACAGACCTGAGGAAGCTACAAGGGCTGAAGGGGAAAACTTGTAGCCATGTGGTGCAGCCTGGCAGGATGATACTGAAGCTGAGCCGAGTGCTGGACTGCGAGCTGGAGCAGCTGGGATGGAAGCACATGTGTTTTTGTCTCTGCCAGAGAAACAGTAATTAACCTCCAGGAGAGGGGTAGGGTGCGTACCTGGGACCAGTAATTTTCTTCAGCTCTTGCAGCAAAATTTACTTGGGCTCATTTGTCAAGCTTTGAATCCTTAAATCTATAACTCTAATTAATTAGGAATCTCTAATTACCCCAAAATGGTGCTCCATATTTAAGGCTAAGGTGTGGTGAAACACAGAGAAAACACAAGAGAAGCTGGAGGATGTTGAGAGCTGGAGATGCCAGGAAACCATTCAGAGATCATGGTGCACATAGGTGCAAAGGAAGCTGGATGGCTCAATGGGTCAGTGAGACCTAGCACAGATCCTAAACTGCCAGAAGCCACTGTCCGGTATTTGGACATCTATCCATATGTGCCCTAAAAAGCAACGACCACCAAACCTCTTAGCAGGGGGTTCTTCAATTGGAGACCCAAAGCCAAGTGACCTTTGGCATTTAAGCCCAAATCTGGGTATTTTCTATATTCAGAAGCACATTAGACAAGGCTCTGATTCTTTGTAACCTCAAACAAGAAACCCCAGTGGGGACAGTATTGGAAACATCAGTGCAGATGGATTCTGGCCCTCTCCTCATAAGATGTAAAGCTCTTTCACAGTTGAGGTCTTATTAAGTTAAAAATTTATAGCTTTTTACTAGGCTGTAACCAGTTAATGTGACTCAGACAAAGATGTAATGTGAACAGAGGCATTACTTAGAGCTACCATTTTTGCCTTACTGCAGAGGTTCCTCTTCTCCAGACCTCACACGCAAGTTCCTAGAAGCCACAGCTGAAGCACATTTAAGAATTAGTCTGTGAGCTCATTTGATGAAGTGAGGGGGATCAGCTGGGGTTTGGGCTGATTGGCTTCAGCAGTGCAGTAGGCAGAGGTTTGAACCACTTCTTTCTGAGCAGTTTTGGGCTGTGGCTCCTTCCCTAGGACTTGCCAGCACCATCTCTTCAGCAAAGGTAAGGTTTCTTCTTCCTGATAATGGCGTGTACAGTGACTGCAGACAGGGTACATCTGCATGTGGATGGGGTCGTTGTGAAAATGTTAAAGGAAGAGAAAAATTATGCATGCTTCTATGTAAAGAGTAGGGTCGCCCCTTAAGAGCCTCAAGTACTGTTTTCTAGTTCCAATGGTAGGGAATCTTTGTATTGTCTGGTAAATAAAAGCCTGTACTTAGTGGCTTTGTTTGGTGGAAGATAAAAAGTTGATAAGATCCTAGTAAAGCTGTTGTGAGGAACTCCTATTAGTTTCCCTGTGGAGAGTGTTTCCAGGGATTCACTCCAGCAAAACTGCGAGACTGGCAGAAGGATTCAGAGTGGTCAGTGATCTCTGTTAACGTTTGAAGTAAAAGTGATCTCTGCCTGGTACTTTTCAGGTCTTGTGTGATTGTGGTGTTGAAAAGCACCAGAAGTGTAGCTAAGATCAATCCTTTTTTCGTATTTGCTGTGAGGTATTCAAGGCAGTGAATTGCATCAGAAAGGGAAAATGAGAATGAGTCGCTAGGTGCTAGCTAAAAGGGTGAGAGAAATGGGTTAAGTCAATTATGGGATTTCCTCTCCATTTTTCCCAGGTAACTCAAGATGTGGAGGGGGGGGGAGCTCTCTACTTTCCTCTACGATCAGGTGTTTGCATTGCTTCAAATAGTAACTGTCTGGGTTGGTCAGGGTTGATGTTCTCCTTTGCTGCTCTCTTGGAAATACCGATGTTTTCACTCCCCTTGGAAGTGCCTTGCCCTTTGAGGCACCATGTGCAGGCAACGCCGGATGCAGGGATGCTCTGAACCCCGCGCACATGGGGCCCTAGGCTCGCTGCGGAGAGTGGGTCATGCCCGGCACCCGTGGGTGCTGACTCACAGCAGTGGGGGCCACCTACTGAATCACTGCCCGGCTCCGGCAGCTCCTGGCTCGCTCCAGAGGTCTCACAGCCAGTGCAGCAGGCCCCAGCCTGTTGGGGCTGGGAGATCTAAGGAGATCACAGCCGGGGCCAGGGGTGATATGGCCGCAGGCCATCATCTTACATAAACCCCATACATTTGCATAATGTGTTTTACAAGATTAAAACTGAAGAAACTTTTTTTTTTTTTTGAAGGGGAAAAAATAGGTGAAAGAGCTCCACACAAACGGGGTATCAGAAACCTGTGGTTCCCAAAATGATTGTGCCCATAATTGGGTTTGAAATGATTTCACGTCAAATTTGCAACTCTGTCATTGTGTACTTGGGGAAAACAACCCAGAGGTAAGGATCATAAACAGAAAGTGAGTGTTGGACCAGTGATGGGGAAACTCATCCCCTTTGAAGAAGCTGTTTCTTCAAACCTGTTGGGTGCCACACATAGGAGAAAACCCTCCTTCCGCAGCAGGGCTGTGGCGTGGAGAGGGTTGCCAAAGCTTGTCGAGTCACAAACCCAAGGCGTTCTTACTTTGTTTAATTACAGTGGGTGACTCGGATGCTAATGCAGAGGTCAGTAAATGGTGTATGATCTCCAGCAGCACCTTACTCGAAGGACTGAGTGGTTTCGTGCAAAGGCCACTGCATGGATTAGTCTGCTGATGACTTGTTGCACAGCTGTATGTGTCTCCTGCACTGGGTTTACTGTGGCCCATAAGAGCTAATCCAACACAAGTTCTTTAGTGGAAAAATATGCGGGGTGGTGGGGTGGTGGTGGTAAAAAGCCAGGAAACTGCAAGTCTTGGACATTGTCTCTGCTGTGATGCATTAGGAAATGTTGGTTGGTGGTTGTGAAAGTCTGATAAATACCCCAGAGTGTAGCTGTGGCCATGAACATCCTTAGGTACAGCTGCTGCATCCAAAGAAAGTAGAGCAGAGAAATTTGCCGCTTTGGAAAGGGTGGAAGGCAAGACATGTCTCTTCTGGCTGGTTGTAAATGTGGAGTTGGATATTCAATCATCTGCTCCCCTTAAAGTGTGAAACTTAGGGATACGGGGCTCCCAGGCTGTGGTAGGGCAGATGCTCAGCTCTCTCCCTGGAATGGTGTGGCCAGGCTGGGCAGCAAAGCTGGCTGGAAGTTGTTTTCAGCTGTTGCTTAAGGAACTGGCTATGATTTTAATAGCTGGTTTAAGTGAACCAACCAAATTGCTTCCAGCATAGCTCTGTCCTTGAAGGTGATGAAGAGATTTGAATGAGAGGCAGTATTGGGTTTCCCGAGAGGCTTTGTTTTAGCAGGGTTTGGTTTACTAATCCCCCACTCAACCACTCCCTGCAGGACTCCCAGAATTGTGGTCTTCGGCTTTTCCCTAGGACTTGGCAATGGTGTCCGTGGCTATGCCCATGTACATGGGTATATTCATATCTCTATGCAGAGGAAAAGGCAGTGGCAGCTGCTTGCTCTGGATGCAGGAGATGGATGTAAACTTGTGTCCTCTTGTTACAGTGAGGTATATCTAAAGTATCTATGGTCAGGTTGAGCACATATTTAGGGCCCCTAACTGTTAACAAAATAAACGGCAATGAAATACCTGAGCGCTTTGCAGATCAAGAAGACAAAGCAGCAGGTGCTTGTCATAGGAGAGTTGTGAAGGGTGTGAATGGGCCTGTGCTGTGGTCCTGAGGTCAAAGTGCTATGGACAGGAAATCTGTACTGTTAGCGTGGATACTGTAAAGTGATTGTACAAGGAATGAGGCTTGTATCTGGTGGAAGAAAAACTCCACTTTTTATCTATCTATCTATCTATCTATCTATCTATCTATCTATCTATCTATCTATCTATCTATCTATCTATCTATCTATCTATCTATCTATCTATTTGTTTCTCTCTTCTCTTCTCCTCTCCCCTTCCACATCTTGTGAAATAAGACTCAGAATTACAAGTCGGGGGGGGGGGGGGGGATCTCCTGCCATGTACCAAGGTGTTAACTTGGAAATGGGAAAAAAGAAAATAAGCATATTGAATGGAAGAGTAGCTCCATGTCTGTGTTAATATGGCTCATTTAACTGGCAAGACTCTGTATATGTTTTTCTGCTTCTTTCCTCCCATTCTGCCCTAGGTTTTATTTACCTGTCTTTTGAAGTATGTCCCTGTACAGATCCAGGATGGACTTGTGTGACTGTACTGCTGTTAGCATAATGATACAAGAAAAGCTGACTTTTCTTATTGTTCCTACATGCAGTTCCCTAAATATGGCCTGGCTCAGTGTGTGTTTAGGGGTGTTAGCACACCTTCCACCCAGGTGGAAATGGTTACTAGATGATGTGCTGGAGCTGGGATGTTGTGGAATGTCCTCTCTTGGGACCTTAATGAGCCACATTACAATAACAAGTCAAGCAAGCCAGTCTGTGCTGTTGCTGCTGGGTGTGAGAGCTGATTCCTGGAGCTGGTGATTTGAGTTTGGCTGTTGAAAATCTCTTCTGTTGACTTTTGTGTCCTGCATTGATTTCTGAGGCTTGAAAAACCATCATACACAGGCAGCTCTAGGACCGTGTCCCAGGTACTTTTGTAGACAACAAAAGTTGTGGTTTCAAGCTTATCCAAAAGAAAAGTTTGAAAGAAAGAAGATTCTTGTGTCTGAGGAAGAAACCTAAAAACTTATGGAACCTGAACTGGGAAAATAATGGAAAGTGCTAAACTTCTTTCTCTCCTCTTTTAGTTTTAATTACTACAAAAGGTGAGTGCTCCCTCTGGCATGTGCTGGCTGACCTTTACAGTGCAAGGGAAAGGTGTCAAAGAATGTACACCCTCCTCAAAGATATGTACCTAACCCCCCCCCACCGAGGCCCAGCCTCTTTCTCCCATCAGGGTTAACATCCAGAGCCACCAGGGAGGTAGGAAATTGCATCCCTGAGGGTGGAAGAAGCTGAGGGTAAAATGCACAACTGCTCTTCCAGGCTGTGCCGATGGCAGCCTGGCTGTAGCGGGGCTGTTCAGGGCTTGCTGCGGGGAGACTTCTACAGTGTTTTCCAGCACAAGGAACATGTGAGCATTTCTGGTGAGTCACTGCTGGGCTAGAGTACTGCCTGGGTTGAACCATTTTGTAAACTCTGTAATATAGAGGTTATTCTTCCTGTTACTTCTCTTAGAAGCACTAACTTATTGTGACAGTGATGTTGCTAGCTGCTGCTATTAATCCAGCCTTCCTGGAGATGCAAAAATTGTGCTGTATCTGGGGTGAGATGTGCAGTCAGATTAATCCCTGCTCTGTAGTGAGCTGTTCTGAGTCGTGTCAAAATGCAGTAACGCTCGTGTTCAAGGGTTACAAACTGGGGAGGGATGTGACTGGGAGCCCCTTTCTGATTGCATTCCAGTGCTGGACCACATCACCTTATGATACAAGAGGGTCACTTGTCTTGGTACACCTTTGACTTTTCTATGCAGTCATGCATTTCTGATCCATGCTTCAACTTCCTGCCTCTTCAATGCAGCCCTTATCCAACCCTTAGCATCTCGGCAATTTTACCACAGGACAGCTTCTCATCCTCGGAGATGTGTGCTGGGTAGAATGCCGCCTTTCATGGCATGCTTTGTGTTAAGGGATAGAAAGAACCAGTTGGAAGCTTGTGCCTTGTTCTTGCTCTCCCAGTAATGGTGGAACCAGGGCATTGTGCTCCCTGAACCACATCCCTCCACGCTCTGTCCTTAGCTGAAGGTTGTTCCCTGCCTTTGTTGGGAGAGCACAGCCATATGTGCAGCAGGCAGGTGCCCTCCTCCTCTCCTCAAAGCACCGGTGCAGTTTCTCATGTGCCATGACCGGGAGCTCATTAACGGCAGTCCCGCTTGGGGTCTGCAGACCAGGGGTGCAGGCTGCCTGGCACAGATTGCCCCACATGTGATTATTTCCACACGCTCCCCATCAAAACAAACGTTCCTTCCGCATGAGCTCCTCTTCCAGCTCTCGGCTTTGAGGGCAGTCGGGATGGGTGTGTGTGTGGGGAACTCTCTTGCTGCAAGCCTACATGGATATGCAGCCATGTAGGTGCAGTCTGGTCTTCAAAGCAAAGAGTAGG